CAAGGCAAGGAAGAGACTCAGCTCTGCAAGACCTGCAGACTTTCTGAAGCAAACTGAAGCTTAGCACAGGAACATGCATCGCACTTTTATGGACGTCTGCTGATTTTTTACTGCTGTTTGCTCAACGGGAAGTGTGGTTTGGGTTCCAGCTCTGCTCAAGCAGCCAAGTATCGCCTGCAGTCTCCATTTCTGCGAGCTGGTGCTACTTACATGCTGCTGCCTCTCAAGCAGTGGAGAGGATGCTCAAAGTATGTCATCCTCATCAGTAATTCAAGGCTTAGTGCTGGACTAGATGTGTATTAACTCTCCTGTGTAAAGACATGGCCGGAGGCAATGGAGGATGGAGGTTTGATCGTCCAAGGCATGTTGCCAAGCGATGGCTGCTACCCATGGGTATGCCTCCTTCTGAGCTGGGAAGAGCAAGAGGTTATTTGAACCTGTGGAGTGTCATTATTCTATGTTTTGCAAGCCAAGGAGTTTGCATGGCTGTCATGAACACTGACATCTGTTATTTCCAGTCGAGTTATAAAGCAGAATTAGGATAGATTTGGGTTACGATAGTTGTGAAAGAAAGCTCTGATGCTAAAGTATATATAACATATGCAGCTTTCCTAATTAGCCCTAAGACCTTTGTATGTAATACACCAAAAAAAGTGTTAATTGTTCTATTTCTGCCAACTTGAAAAACAAACAGAAGAACCTTTCTGGCCAGGTGGTGTCATTGCCAAATATGCATTTCAGTTAAACTTTGCTTTGTTTAAAGTTCTAGATAATAAAATTATTTGGTTTGTGGACTGCCAGAAGATAGCTGAGATTAAAGTCTCAGGTTTGATTAAGTTTGTCATAAAGTAAAGGTACTCATGGAACAATGACTATTAAATCAATTCTTAGTTACTAATGTATTTTAGAGGAGTTCAATCTTTTGTCAGCCTTACTGTCTTCTCTTTTTGTTGTAATGTGTCAAGGTATGTAGTTGTTCTTAAATCTTTTCATGAGTTTTTGTGGAGGATTTGGTTGAGTGATTCTGTTTTTAAGGAGCCTATTCAGCAACGACAGTGACACAAAAGATAGCAGTCTGCTTTGATTTACACCTTCTGGAGATTTCTTTTGTAGAAAGTATACATACAGTAATATTACCAGGTTATAAATTTAGGGACTGCATTTGTAGTGAAAGCCCCTTCTCCTGTGCAGCCACTCAGTCATCCAGAATCCTCTTTGTCCATCCACTGGTGTATGAGACGCTAAGAGTCTTTTGTTTTAATCTTTCCACCTTGGTTTTGATAAACTTGGCTGCAACACCTTTTGAAAGAACCTTTCTGATTTGTTTTGGATATTTTTATTGCCTTCATTACCCCAGTTTCTCACCATTTTATCGTCTGCACCCCCAACTTTGCAGTGTACCCACAAGTGCCATTATCCCCACTGGGCAGAAGATAAACTCGAGGACAGAGTGACAAATGCCATTGGTATGAGGGTTGTAGGAGCCAAACCCACAAAAGATGGGTCGAATCCTGTCTTCCTCCTTGATTTGTCCTGTGTTTCCCTTTTGTCAGACTGTTCAGGTGGCAGCGACCTGGGCTGCCAAGATCCAGCCTGTCTGCTCAAAGCACATTTAGCAGGATGCCCACACGTCCCATGTGCCAGCACAGCTCATGTGTTTGGAGCTTCTGGAGGAAGACTCCTGCTTCCAGACAGTTTGCTGCAGCCAAGCAGATGATGCCTGTGAGAACGGGCAGCAGCTAAGCCTTGCATATGAGTGTGGGTTCATCTGTGCAAAGGTCTGCTCCAAAGAGTGAAGTGTAGCCAGAGTTTCTCCTGTGTAGCATCACTTGAAGGGTGTTTCACATGCCAGACTGGAACCATCTTGCATCTGCCAAGGTGTGATAGGGACTTTCTGTAGCTGTGTTACAAGATCTTTGAAAAATCAGATTGTTAGAGCCTTTCTAGCAGAATAATAAGTTGGTTGTGCGTGTGTATCAGATAGCTGCATATGCTGGGCATGTCAGACAGTGAAAAGATGTGTTACCACTCTGTGATATTATCACTTCCTAATATTATTTTTCTGATGTTTCTGGTGGTAAACATTAGAAACTTGCATGCAATATTTCATTTGTGAATCTCAAAACACATGTATTATTGTGTGTTTAGTGCTTAATTCAATTCCCAGTGAAGATGAGGACAAAATTTCCACTTTATTGCGCTTGTTCCAGCCCTCAAAGCGAATGTTGTCTGTCGCAAGTAGAATGGATACTAATTTGGTCCCATAAAACCACAGATTGTTTCAACTTTCCACGAATTTCTGAATGACTAGCCGATCGGGTCCCGTGATGCTGCTCTCAGGCTTGCTGGTGATATGAAAGAGGCGCTTGTCCAGCTGACTGTGTAGCCGTGCCGCTCTTTTGTTGCCTGTAGTACACATGCTCAGCTCGCTTTTTACTCTCTTTTTATTTCAATGCTCTGCAACAGGGCTGCACAAAGCCGAAACTGGCTTTTAAAACACAACTTCATTTTGCATCTATACGTCTGTGCCCAGTTTTCTTTTGTGCTGCCTGCAGAACAAGGAGGCTGTGTGGTATCTGACACTGGGCTTTTTCCAGTGATTTATTAACTGTGTCAGAATCGCTGTTGTGAATGCTGGGAAGCTCTTGCGTATTGTGACAGTTGATATTGATTATGACAGTTTGTAGACTCTAGTGCGTTGTCAGACAGTGGATCGTATTTTGTCTTCTTACTATACATACCATGGGCTATAGATCATAGTGTTTTCTTAAGAAAAGGACCCATTGTCCAAGCGTTCTTGCTGGTATGAGAAAACTTCTGTAGCGTATTGTGCAACAAATAGCAAAATAGTTCAGGCACCCTATGGGACAGGCAGGCAAATGTCAATTGCTTTAGGAAAAAAAAAAAAAGAAATTGTGAATAGTTTGTTCTGCTTCTGGCCTTTCAGGGGAATGAGCCGTGCCGTTGACAGAAGTGGGTAAACCAGTCTGAGGGTGTCACTTCAGAAATTATGGCGCATCCTGTATTATCCATGTGCCAGAAATCCACAGATCGCGCAGGAGGAGGAGGTTGCAGTGGGGATTTTGGCTACCAACTGTTTGTAAAGGTTGCTTTGGGTCTTGATGGAGGCTCAGACTACATGTTTCTAGAATGAATCTGAGGAAATCAATACTTCTGCAAACTTGGGAGAAAGTGAAAGCTGGTGTGGGAGCTTCTGTGAGGGCACATCAAACAGATCACCCTGAATAGTGACCTCTTCGGACTGTTTGGTTTTAGCCAGGCAGTAGCAAAGTAGCACATAGGAGAAAAGATTTTTCTATTTGCCTAAAAGCTGCTTCAGAGTAGAAAAAAGTCAACAGCTGAACTTTTACAGACAGTCTGATCAGGAGGAGGGAGTCAAAAGCCATTTGGTTAATTATGCTGCCGTAATTTACTATATTGCTACTATTTATTTTTAAAACAAAACAGCACTTGAGATGTAGCGGCACCGGAGAGGAGCCATTCTGATTGTTCTGTTCTTGAAAGACCTTTTATAAGATACTATAATGGGTCATAAACTTATACTTTGCGATAATAAACCTTAGGAAGATGACCTTTAGCAATCCATGCTGTTAGAATTTTGATCTCACACTGGGTATAGATTAATTCAAATGCAGTTTCAGCTGCAATTCTTGCATTGCTGTGATTCAAAATCAATTTCTGCATGTACCTTATGGTTTTATTGAAATAAATGTAGTAGCAGGTTATTTGTGAAACTATTATTTCTGAGATACTTTGAGCCAAGATTGTGGCACTGAGCTGGGACCTGGGGGAACTGGATTCTGTTCTTAACCAGTAGCCTGATATTGGCTACTCTAACCAGTTCATCTCTCTCATGAGATGAACTCACCACCATTTTTAGTTATTTACACTGTGAGATCTTTGAGAAGGAACATTTCCTATCAGAAGCCAACCTACCTTGATTTCTCCTGGCATTTCCAGATACTCCTGTAATACTAACCATATTTTCTGTAATGCGATCTGTACTTTGATGAGTCCTTAATGTTTGTAAAGAAACAGAATTAAACTAAGTGCTTTGGTTTCAGTGGTGACACAACTTCCCATTGCATACTGCCATTGAGTTTGAATTAATTATAGCACTCACTGTGTGAATAATTATGTTTCGTAATGATAAAATACTCGAGAGATAGTACGTTCACAGCAGTGCTGTGAATCCCTCAAGGATTTTACAGTGGCATCTCCTAGTCCAGTGTCAGATATTAGTGCTATATTTATGTATTTACGTATTTTACTGCAGAACATCCACAGCAATATCAGAAATACTTTAAAGGAAGGATAAAGTGGAAGAGTTTTTAAATGTCTACTTTTCATTACAGGCATGTTTTATTTGATTTTTTTTTCTAATTTGCCTGAAGTATTTTGGAGAAGTTAGGTCTTAAGAATGAAAAAGTCCAAGTGTTCAGACTGGTAACTTTTATCTAAAGGTCTGGTCACAGTTCACCATCTGTGCATGGTTCTGGCTTCTTAAGCCTGAGACCATGCCAGGAGAAGATAGTTTTGGTGTACTGCTGTGAAAAGCGACAGCTTCCCAGCACTAGTTGTAGACTAGCAGTGACTTTTAGGAAGATCCATTCAGTTGCTATTGTAAGAGATCCGTTCCCCTTGGCTTCTCCTTGGCCATCTTGGGGGTCTCAGGCTGTTTGCTCACTAACCCTTGCCAGATCACCTGGAGAACATCACAGGCAAGCAACTGGCAAGTCATTTGCCTGTGATGTTCTCCAGATGTTCTGGGCTTTTTGAGATGTCTCTAGTTCTGAGTTGCAATCCTTAAGAGATTCTATTCTGTTTTCTTGAGTAAGGGCATTGATAATCGCTACAGAAGGTGGTTGCCTTTCCCTCTCCATCCTGGTGCCCCAAAGTGCCTTGCAGGTCCAGGAGACTGCAGGAACCTCCTTGTCCGTAGGCTGAAGCCTGCTTTCTGACGTCACCGTTATCTTTCTCTGTTCCCTTCAGATGGCGTCCACAGCGTCACGGCAGTTTGCACCCTGCGTGTCACCATCATCACGGATGACATGCTCACCAACAGCATCACGGTGCGCCTGGAAAACATGTCCCAGGAGAGATTCCTTTCTCCCCTCCTGTCCCTTTTTGTGGAGGGGGTGGCCACAGTGCTCTCTACCGCCAAGGACGGCATCTTCGTGTTCAACATCCAAAATGACACTGATGTCAGCTCCAATATCCTGAACGTGACCTTCTCAGCTTTGCTCCCTGGTGGCATTCGAAACAAGTTCTTCCCCTCTGAGGACCTCCAGGAGCAGATCTACCTCAACAGGACCCTGCTGACCATGATTTCCACGCAGAGGGTGCTGCCCTTTGATGACAACATCTGCTTGCGTGAGCCCTGTGAGAACTACATGAAGTGTGTCTCCGTCTTGAAGTTCGACAGCTCGGCCCCGTTCATCAGCTCCAACACCGTCCTGTTCCGCCCCATCCACCCCATCAACGGGCTGCGGTGCCGATGCCCCCCGGGCTTCACGGGCGACTACTGCGAGACAGAGATTGACCTCTGCTACTCCAACCCTTGTGGGAGCAATGGGCTGTGCCGGAGCCGAGAAGGGGGCTACACTTGTGAATGCTACGAGGACTACACTGGTATGTATTTATCTTATCTTTGACCCCTGATTTATATGTTAGACCATCAGCCAGGCCAGCTCTGTGTCAGGCTGAAATTGCTGACATTCTTAGTCAAAGGGAGAAAAACTCCTGGTCTGGAGAGGGCTTGTGAGTGTCACACATCACTTAGGGTAAGTCCCATATCTCTGGGCATGCACGGCGGTAGGAACCGTGCCTTCCTCCAGGTCATTCAGAGGCCCCAACAGCTGCTGAAGTGATTTGTGTTGGGTGAATTTCTGCTCAAAATGCTTCATGCAAAAGTGTTTTTTCTATCTGGAAGGAAAAAGGTGGGACACATCCCCCTGTTTCATGGGTTTGCATGTTAATGCCTTCCTGGCCCCTTAGCAGCCCTCTGGTGCCAAGGGCAGCCTCGGTAGGAGGTCGTCAACCCTTGGTCTTCAACAAACGCAGAGCGTGAGGATGGTTCATGGTTCCAAGAAACTGCAGTAATACACCTTTATGGGAAATACTGCAAATCAGCTCCAGTTTGTAACTGTCCAGATAAACTCCAGAATGACGTAGCTGCTTCCAGGCCTGTCTCCAGCAGCCTGCTGAGCAACACACTTTGCCTCATCATGTACTTGACAGCTAATAAAGATCAAAGTGTTGCTTCTCAAATACTCCTGAGAAGTTATGAAAGAATATTAACGTGAGTGTTTTCTGGTGCTTCAGTAAAGTCAGTGGGATTATTTATGTATCTGAAATTGCACACGCTTTTAAGCGTTCTGCACTGGTGTGCTGCCGGCTGTAATTTATGCTGACGGCTCAGCAATGTCTGCTGCGACCCCTGCAAACAAGGGGTGAAGCAGAAGGGGCTATTCCCAACGCTGCCTCTCACTGCTAAAGTTATAAAAAATTGAAAGCATAAATTATTTAAGTCTCGATGTAAAAAAAGAATAAATCTAGATGATGTGTATTCCTACTGGGCTGGATTCTGCCCTCTGGGTGGAAGGGTTTTCCTTCACTTTTTGTGGCTTTTGGCTCATGGCTGTAATTAAAAATGTGACGGAGCCACGAGTCAGTGAGCAGGGACACGGCAGCACCAAGTGAACTTGGCTTTCCCCAGCAAGGGGGGCAGAATGCACCCTGAGATCAGAGCAGGGCTTAGGCAGAAGGACCTTCCTATGGAGATGCAGACTTTTTGCCTCATCAGTGAAGCCCTGAATAGATCTGTGAGGTGGTTGGGATATTTGGTCTTTATTGAGGGGTGATTTTGCTGCCAGGCTTCTCGTGAATGACTTCCACAGTGAAACGTGTTACAAAGTTCGTTATCCATTACATCCAGCTAATGCAAAATACGTGCAGCACTGGCCGTAACAAAATAGATTTTATGACCAGTTGATTTCATTTAACATGTTTACATACTATTATACTGTAAATAGGAGTGGTTAGAAGTAGCAAGTTTCATTAAACAATGATCTGCATATGAGTAGAATTAATTCATCCGCATCTTAGGTTTCAGAATTACTTACATTCCTACATCACAGAAATCTTCATCTGAAAAGGCTAAATATACTTTAAAAATGAAAGAGAATAATCTTATATTAATAATTGATGAACATATTTAATAATTAACACTGTAGTCAGAGCAGATGCAGTACATATTTAGAGGAGAGGCACCATGTTATTCACACACAAAGAAAGATTTGATCTGTAACTGTATTTTCAGTGCATAGTTGTTGAGTTAAAAATTAACTGTCTGGCTGCCAGAATATTAAAGTGATCAGAAGTTAAGGAGTGAGCAGTGCTTATGGCCTTGCCATCTTTAGGTTTCAGAGTTAACTGCACTTCAGTGAAACAATATTCTTTTGAAGGACAGTTCAGGTCATGTTTGCAGTCAAGTTGGCAGGAGAAAAACACACCTAGCGGTAATCAAGAGGGCTCTGAAGTCCCTTATACTATGAATTAATACAGATTTATTGAATATTTCTGCTTGACTGCTGAACAAATGCTACAGAAATTTAGTATCTGCCGTGTGCTTGGTTTACATTGCCTTAGTGCCTTTAGGATCCATCTTGCATGACAATTTTTTTTCTTGAAACCTGACATGTCCACATATGGTGGTTATGAGTTGTTTGATTTTCATCCCCTTTACAGAATGAGGTGAAAAATGTTATCAACAAGTAATCTATTACCAGAAGTATTTTATAAAGATGCATTAGTGAATCTTGTCCCAATCTTCTTTAAGAACTGTTACTTTACCTATGGTTTTTTGTCCTTTCTTTAAATACATTCATATCCATTTGCAGGTTCACTTTATTAATGATAATACTGTGTTTTCTGCTTGTATATAAGTATTTATTGTTTACAATGGTCCAGATTTTATATGTATTTAATATTTAAAAAGCATAGGCTGTTTTCAGTAGCAGCAATGTGCATTGGCTCATGGAATCCAGTGATCATGAATTGAAATAAGCAGAGAATTGCCAAGACTGAAAGTTGGGAGATTCTGGTATTACTGAAATGTTACCACGATATTAACTCAGTGTAGTAACATGCTGGTATGAGGTACTTAGGAATCTTTGAATTAATTGTAGAAGATGAAATATGAATGGTAGTAGTCAGTGAAGTGCAGCCTGCCTGGGAGCTCTCATGTTTCCATTTCCCAATTAAGAGGCTATGTAGAAAAATAATTACAAGAAAATACGGAGATCTGTCATCTCCCCCAGGAGATAATGCTGCAGCTCGATGAGAAATCACTGCACAGTCATAACCCTGTGTTGAATCTATCCAACTGGTCACCTGTTAAAAATATAGCGTTTATTTCCTGTAGAAGATAATTATGTCCTATCTTAATCGGATGGAATTTCCCCCCGTTTTTCCACCCTGCTTTGAAGCCCTCCATTTGTTTTGATGTAATTGTTAGTCATTTACACATGATGAAAGTTTTTCTGTCTTCAGCAGTCTTCTGTTACGGGCACAAAGGTAAACTGAGCTCCTACAAGATATTTCTGAAACCTGATTACTGGCTAGTTTGGGGTGATTTGGAATTAGCTTCACTTCCTGTGATGTAAGGAGGTGAGTGAAGAAGGATATATGTTTTTAATCATTTCTTTTTTAGAATAGCAACCAGTGCAACTTCTTTTCTTTATAAATAAATTAATGTAGAACAATGTACACACTAACAAATCATGGCATTGATGACAGGGAGCTGTGTGCATGGCTCAAGGGTTAAAGGATGTAACTGAAGTTAAACAAACAAATTTAATGAACTTGAACACTGTGGAAAGCCTGTATAATTCTTCCAGCTTTATTTCACGTGTCTTCAAGTGCTGCCGAAGCAGTTGAGATGGTCTATAGGTGAAGGCTTGGACAGAGGTGGAATTCTCTGCGCTTCCCAGGGGCAAACCCGTGAAGAGCAAACGCATCATGTCAACCACACCGGTTTTGGAGGCGTGGTTGCCAAAGCGGTTCCTGAATGAGCCGTACTTCCAGCCCCATCTGTGTGCCTCCTATGGAGCACACCACTGCGGCCAGAAGGCACCACCTCTTTGGGTGGGAATTCCCAGGATCCCTGCCCTGCCATAGGTGGGGGCCTCTTGCCATCGCTGGGCTCCCCCACAGTTCTCGCCCATGGTCCTTCTGCTCGGCAGCCGCTGCAACCATCCTCCTCTACGGTTGTGCTCCCAAAAAGAAAAATTTAATTGGCGCAAAACAAAAGCACTCCAGTGGGGGGAAAGAAAAAGAACCAACCTCTGAAATGAGGAGGAGATTTAATGTTCCCACAGTTCTCCTTAGCATGCGGCGTTCTCTCTGCCTCCTTTGCTGCATAACCCATATCAAGAAGCGATTTCTGGGGAAAAATATCGTCAGAGAATTGCCTGTATCCTCTACATCTCTCCTTGGATTTCACTTCAGAGAGAGGAGAAATCTTAAGTGGTTGTAAATCTTCTAGTAATCAAATATAGCAATTAGAGATCTTTTTACATGTTACACTTTCTTCCTCCTAATTTATTTTCGTGATACCATATTAACATGAAGAATCATGACATCTAACACGGCTGCTGTGAATTCGGACTTTGTGTCATGGGAAGGTAATTATAGCTGCCCCTATTCATATTGGTTAGTAAGTTCTCAGCGTTTGACTCTTGAAAACATATAGCAGTGAAAGTAAATGTGAAGATTTGCTGTTGTGCTATCTTTACTTATATCCATTTTCAGATAGTAATTTCCCAGCTCAGTCTGATACCAGATTCTCATCTTTCAGGCCAGAGAGATTTATTTGGAAGAACCTCAGCTTTCAAGTAGAGAAATCTGGCAGCCAGGGTAGCGGTAATGAGTGTTTTATCTTGGGCGAGAGGGTCTGAAATTCCACTCTCAGTTACACTTCTGCAGCTCTGCTGGGGCGGTGGGATCACAGGTGTTTAACAGCCAAATCCTGTACAGCAAATCTTAATTTGATTCCTTCAGGTTCCTTACTACATCTTTAACTCTTCGTTTAGCGTATGAAAGGCCATGATTTTGTGACAACAAGGCTGAACAAAGATTGTCCTCGAAGGGTGGCGGGGCTTTGCCAGCACTTTCACACAGCTCTTACCAAGTTGGTCTTTGATACAAAACCCAAAAGAAGAAATCCTGTCATTCCCAAGCACTCTCATAAATGTAGGGAGATTGTCCACAGTATGGAACAATTCTGAGGGTCATCTCTCTGATACATTATTTAAATATTAAAGCAATGCAGTGAGGGTATCAAAATTATTTGCATCGTTGCTACCTTAACAGTTTCCCTTAGTCCAGGTCGTCTGGATTCCAGGTGCATTTTTGTAGTAGAGAGATGAAAACAACCTAGGCACTCTAGGCAAGGTCTAATACTGTAAAAAATAGTGTATTTCAAAAGTTTAAATATAGTTATAGTTATTAGGGTGCTGGGTGATTTATGCTATTTACAGAATTTAAATGCCATGTATTTTCCATTTGCAAAAAGTCTTAACAATTTTTTATTAAGCTTTCATGCTGATTGTGGATGCAGGAGAAGTCCA